CCATTTAAAGTGTTCAATTCACTGGTTTTTATATTTATGGATATGAGCAACCATCACCACAATCAATTTGACATTTTCATCACCTCAAAAAGAAGCCCCATTTCCTTTAGCCATCACTCCTCCCCACTGCACCTCTGTTCCCTGCCTCCCCCAAACCTAAGCAACCACTAATATACTTTCTGTCTCTATAGACTTCACTATTTTGGAGAGTTCACATGAATGGACTCATATAATCTGTGATCTTTGTGTCTGGCTTCTTTCATGCAACATAATGTTTCAAGGAACTCCCTCTGGGAAAATCTGGGACAATTTGAGTAGCAAAGTAAATAATGATAGTAATAGCTTATGTATAACCTGATGAATAAAGTAGGAAGTTGCCAGTCCATATAGGTGGGTAAAATTGTACGTAGATAACAGATAGGGAAAAAGTGTAGCACATTGTACATGTACATGTTGTAGCATGTGTCAGTTATTTAATTCCTTTTTATGGCTGAATAATATTCCATTATATAGATGTGTCACATTTTGTTTATCCATTTATCAGCTGATGTACACTGGGGTGGTTTCCACCTTTTAGCTAGTATGAGTAATGCTGCTATCAACATATGTGTACATGTTTTTATGTGGCCATATATTTTCATTTCTCTTGCGGATGCATGTACCTAGGAATGGAATTGCTGGGTCAAATGATAACTATGTTTAATCATTTGAGGAACCACCAGATTGTTTCCCAAAGCAGCTGCACCATTTTACACTCCCCTGGCAACATATGAAGGTTCCAATTTCTCCACATCCTCACCAACACTTGCTGTTTTCTGACTTTTTGATTCTAGCCATCCTAGTGGGTATGAGGTAGTATCTCATTGTAGTTTTGACTTTTATTTCCCTGATCGTTAATGATGCCAAGCACCTTTTCATGTATTTATTGACCATTACCACTTCGTTTCTTTTTTGGGGGGTGGGGGGTGGAGCAGAGGGAAAGAGAGAATTTTAAGCAGGCTCTATGCCCAGCATGGAGCCCAACGCAGGACTCGATCTCATGACCCTCAGATCATGACCTGAGCCAAAATCAAGAGTCAGACACTTAACCAACTGAGCCACCCAGGCGCCCGTTACCACTTCATTTCTTAAAGATAGTTTTGCCAGATATGGAATTCAGGGTTGACAGTTCTTTTCTTTGAGCACTTGAAAATGTTGTGCCAGGGCACCTCAGTGGCTCAGTTGGTTAAGCAGCCAACTCTTGATTTTGGCTCAGGTCATGATCTCAGGGTCCTGGGATCGAGCCCTGCATCAGGCTCTGCATTCAATGGGGAGTCTGCTTGAGGATTCTCTCTCGCCCTCTCCCTCTGCCCATCCCCCCTCTAAAATAAATAAATAAATCTTTGAATAAAAAAGAAAAATGTTGTGCCACTTCCATCTCTTCTCCATGGTTTCTGATAAGAAACCTCCCGTCACTTTAATTGTTTTCCCCCCATAGGTAAGTTGTGGTTTCTCTCTTGCTGATTTTAAGATTTTTTTTTCTTTGTCTTTAGTTTTTCTGAAGTTTGATTATAATGTGTCTTGGTGTAGATTTTTTTTTTATTTTTCCTTTTGGGGTTTGCTCAGCTTCTTGAAACTCTAAGTTGATATTTTTGCCAGATTAGAGAAATTTTCAGCCAATTTCTTCAAATACTTTTTCAGCCCCACACGTTTTCTCCTCTCCTTCTGGGATTCTGATGACACAAATGCCAGATCTTCTATTATAGTCTCACAGGTCCCTGAGGCTCTGCTCATTTTTTTTTCCAGCCAATTTTCCTTTCTGTTCATATTAGATCATTTCCATGGTTCCATTGTCAAGTTCTCTGATTCCTTCCTCTGTCCTCTCTATTCTGCTGTTGAGCCCACAGTGGAGTTTTAAATTTTCAGTCATTGTATTTGTCAGTTCTAAAATTTCCATTCAGTTTGTCTTCATATCTTTTCTTTCTTTGCTAAGGCTTTCTATTTTCAAATTTCTTTTAAGTATACTGAAACATTTTTATGATAGCTGCTTTAAAATTCTTGTCACATAATTCTAACATCTGTGTTATCTCAATGTTGGTGTCTCTTGATTGTCTTTTCTCATGCCAGTTGAGATTTTTCTGTTTCTTCTCATGAAGCCTGATTTTCAAGTATGTCCTGGATATTTTGGGAACTATGAGACTCTAGGTATTATTTAAATCTTGTGTTTAACAGGCCTCCTCTGACACTGTTCTGCTAGAAAATGAGAATCTTCTTTTTCTGAAGAGGATTCTGAAAAATGCTCCTTATTGCCAGGTGGAGGTAAAGTTCAGGTTCCCCAGTTGACCTCCTTTGACACCCCAGAAGGGGACAAGCACCTGTTGCTACTGGGCAGGGGTAGAATTTCAGGCTTTCCACCACACCACCTCTGACACCACCCTGGTGGGAAGGCAGAGGACACCTTTTTATCGAGTGGGGGTGGAAGTCCAAGATCCCCACACAGCCTAAATTGACACTGTGGGCAAGGGGTCTCATTACCATCATCCCAGGCTGGGATGAAATTCTAGGCTCCCCATTCATCCTTTGCTGATGGGAATGGGAGTAGGAGCACAGTTTTTTGTTTTGTTTTGTTTTGTTTCTGTGATGCTTGCCTGGAACAGGGCAGTATTATTTAAGTTTTTCTCTCTCTCTCTTTTTAAGATTTTATTTATTTATTTGAGAGAGAGAAGGAAAGACAGTAGGAGAGTACAAGCAGGGAGCAGAGAGAGAGAGGCGGGCTCCCTGCAGAGCAAGGAGCCCGATGCGGGACTCCATCCCAGGACCCTGGGATCATGACCTGAGCCGAAGGCAGACTCCTAACTGCCTGAGCCACCCAGGTGCCCTTAAATTTTTCTCTCTTGCTATGTTGCCTTTTTCCTGGTACTTTAACTAATGAAAGCAGGCTTTCCCGGGGCTGTTTCCATCTGTGCCAGTTGGCATTCTAGATTGCCAGTTTCTCTAGCACCTAGTCCAAGATATGTGGGGCAAAATGAAAACTCGGGGAAATCACCACTGTGGCATTCCTCAGGTTCTGAGGATCATGGCAAGTTTGCCTCCCTCTCTCCAACTGGCAGAGTGTTCTCATCTTTGTTTTATATATAATGTCTAGGGGTTTTAGCTGTACTTAGCAGGAGAAATAGAGAGAATTATGCCTATTCCATTTTGGTCCCATTGGTAATTTTTAGCTTAATTTCTGAATATGTAATACATTCACATGGTTCTCTCCCTCAACTCCCCAGATCTCCCTAACCAGAAAACCAGTCTTGGTTAGTTCGTGGGTGGGTAGGTGGGGTATAGGCTTAGGGATTATGCAAATAAAAGCAACTAAGAAAATATTCTTTTTTTAAAAAGATTTTATTTATTTATTTATGTATTTATTTATTTAGAGCATGAGTGGGGGGGAGGGCAGAGAGAGAGGGAGAGAATCTCAAGCAGACTGCACTGAGTGCAGAGCCTGACACAGGGCTTGACCTCACCACCCCAAGATCATGACCTGAGCCAAAATCAAGAGTCGGTCATTAAACCGACTGAGCCACCCAGGCACCCCAGAAAATATTCTTAATATTTTTCGCAAAGAGAGTAGATCCTGTTACTATTATGTTGAACACTGATTTTTTAATTACTATTAATTTTTAACTTTTTATCATGAAATATTACACACATTTTGAATAAGGCTGCTATAAATATTCTTGGCCATGCCTCCTATTGCACATGTACACATATTCTAGTTGGGCATATTTCCATGAATGGAATCACTGTGCCCTAGTGTATGCATGCTTTAACATTACCCAATAAAGACAAAATGCTTTCCAACATAGTTGCACCAATTTAGATCACCATCAGCAATATGAGAGTTCTCATTGCACCATATTCTCCTCAACACGTACTATCAGTCTTTTTCATTGAAGACATTCTGGGGGTTGTATAGTGGTATCTCACTGTGGTTTATTTTATTTTATTTTGTTTTATTTATTTGACACAGTGAGAGAGAGTATGTGTGTACAAGCAGGGGGAGTGGGAGGGGGGAAGCAGGCTCCCTGCCGAGCAGGGAGCCTGATGCGGGGCTTGATCCTAGGACCCTGGGATCATGACCTGAGCCAAAGGCAGACGCCCAACCAACTGAGCCATCCAGGTGCCCCTCACTGTGGTTTAAATTTGCATTCCCTGGTTACTAAGGTTAAACCCTTTCTGTTGTTTATTGAAACCTTGGATTTCCCCTTTTGTAAAATGCCTGTTCAATTGCTTTGCCCACTTTTCTACTCGGTGGTCTCCTTTCTTCTTATTGGTTTGTAAGAGTTCTTTACATCCTCTTGATATGAACCCTTTGACAGTAACATGTGTTGCAGGTATCTTTTCCTATTCTGGGTCTTTCCTTTTCTTCTCTTATAATACTGTCTTTTAAATGAATAGAAGTTTTAAAATTTACTGTAGCCAGACATCAACCTTTTTCTTTATGGTTAATGTTTTTTTGCATCTTGTTTAAGAATTATTTTCCTAATCTGAGATCATGAAGATATTTATCTATATTATCTTTTTTCTATGGGTTTTTTTTTTTTTTTTTGGTGCCAAAACCCAGGAATGAATTTCCCGTATTGTTTTTAAAGGCTCTATTACTTCACCTTTTCCCCTATGTGTTTCTTTTTATTCAATTTCTATTTTATTCAATTTTATATTGCCATGGCCTGGCACATAATCAGCCAGTAAATATATGTAGTTACATGAACTAAAGGACTTAAAGAAAGCCTATTTTAATCCTCATTTTTGCAAAAGAATGACTGAATAAACAAATGAACGTATTACATACACAGTGGATGTCAAGATACTTCAGTAAGTTTTTTTCTCTCACAAAATGAAATACAAAACCAGGTACTGAGTGAAAACCCTGTGTGATATGGTAAAACATCATTAAAAACAACTTCCTATTTGTCTTCCTTCCAACCCCCAGTGCTGACCATGTCACCTTGAACAGAACTATGTTGTTACAGGTCTCCGTGTCATTCGAGGATGTGACTGTGGACTTCAGCAGGGAGGAGTGGCAGCACTTGGACCCTGCTCAGAGACGCCTGTACCGGGATGTGACGCTGGAGAATTACAGCCACTTGCGCTCAGTGGGTAAGCCAGCTGCCCTGTGTATCTGCCAGGCGCCTGAGTGTGGCTATTTCCATTCTCAGCTGCTGGATGTTCTGGAACATCTTAAGTGTGTGATGGTGTCATCCTTGATTTGTCCAAGATTCTTCAGTCCCTTTTCAGCACTATGATTATTACTCTGTTCCCAGTGAAATGTGATTACTTTTCAGAAGAGCAAATGGAAATGTCATTGAAAGTCCTCTGAAATCCAATCAGCTGGACCCAATCCTGTACCATCTCCTGTTAACAGGGTACCAGGTTCCCAAACCAGAGGTCATCTTCAAGTTGGAGCAAGGAGAGGGGCCATGGACATTGGAGGGGGAAACCCCACATCAGGGCTGTTCAGGTGAGTGAGTTTGACTCAGGCAGATGGCGGACATGGAAGTAAATCTCACTTTTTCTAGAAGAGGCTGATACCTTTGAAAGGCTGTGAAGATAACCTGCCTTGAAAGTTCTAAACTTCTTTTTTTTTTAAAGATTTTATTTATTTATTTGACTGAGAGAGAGAGCGAGAGCGAGAGAGAGAGAGAGAGAGCACACAAGCAGGGGGTGCGGCAGGCAGAGGGAGAGGGAGAAGCAGGCTCCCCACTGAGCAAGGAGCCCAGTGCGGGCCTCGATCCCAGGACCCCGGGATCATGTCCTGAGCCAAAAGCAGATACTTAACTGACTGAGCCACCCAGGCACCCTGAAAGTTCTAAACTTCTGTAGTTTATTGGCGATAGTTCACAGAAGCTCCTTTGATACCTAAGCAGTTTCTCCAAGTTTGACCCTTGCAAATAGCCATTGTCTTCATTGCTTGGCTTTTTGACAAGAGAGCTGTCTCTAGTCTCTGTACCCTGGATCACATAGCATACTACCCTATCTTATCTAAGATCTTTTCATTCTTCCTACTCCACTCCCACCCCCTTTATCTTAGATTCTTTCCTTGTACATTCAGGTATTTTAACATTTCTTCCCTTTTATTCCAATTCCACGTGTTCATTCCTTATACCTCCTCCCAGGGGCAACTGAGCTACTGTGTTTTATCTGTGAATTTGTGTGGTATTCTTTAAAAGCCTGAAATATTGGTTTCTGAGTATGTATTTTTAGTATATGTAAATTATATTGCACCACATGTCTTAATTCTGTTCCTTTTTTTTCACTCATCCATGAGATCGTCCATTTTGCAGTGTGTTCATCTGGCTTCATTCCTTCAAATGGCTGCATAGTATTCTACAGTGTGCTGGTACCACATCTTACTTAACCATTCACTCAGTGGTGGAACCTAGGGTTGTTGCTAATACAAATTCCCAGCTAATACAAACAACTTTACGATAAATTTCTACAAAAATGTTCCCTTTTGGAGGGTGAGAATTTCTTGGGAATGTTTATAGAAGAGGGGATCTGCCTAATCATTGCATATTTTTATCCTGAATTTGACCAAGCACCACCATATTACTCTCAGATTGGCTGCACGAATCTATACTAACCATGGTGCACAAAGGTTCTTGCTTTCCTAGAGTTTCTGCCAACAATTAATGGAGCCAGAGTTTCTCATTTTTGGGCCAACAATGGGTATAAAGTGGTATCTCATTTTTTTATTCTGCATTTCTCCAGTACCTAGTTTCAGCCTTTCATTATTGATCTGTTGTGGTCTCCTTGAGTTTTCCTTTTATGAGTGACCTTGTCTTGTTTCACTTGAATTTCCTGTTTCTTATTGATTTGCATCCAATTTATTACTCGCCCTTTCTTCCAGCCTTCTCTTCCTTACCCCCATACATGAGGTTGCCCTAGGGACCCTGCTGTTCACCAATCTTTTCTTCATATACATGCAAAGATTCATCCATACTGAATTCTGATGACTGCTTTTGACACCTCTGGTCTGGTTTTCACTGGTACTTTAGTACTAGATTTAGCTACCCAGAAAGTTCCCATGAGATGTTTCTCTTGACCCTCAGTACGTCAGAAATTGGAATCATCATCTCACATATCACCTTCCCACCTTCCAAATTCTGTCACATTCTGTCAGTGCTTCTTAAATCTTTCAGCCGTTTTTTTTTTTTAATTAGTCACCCTACAGTTCCTAGTGCTTTTCCATTTTTGCAAATATCATTTTCAGTTCTCAGTTCATCTTCCCAGTTCCCAGTAATATCACCTAAAACCAGCTCCATATTTTCTTATGCCTGGATTACGATGATTTTATTCCTGATTGAATTTGCTGATTCCATTCTTTTTATTAGTTCACTTTCAGTGAACATTTGGACGTCTTCTTTGGAAAACTGTCTATTCAGTTCCTCTACCCATTTTTTTAATTGGTTTGCTTATTTTGTGCCAATGAGTTGTATGAGTTCTTTATATAATTTAGATATTAACTCCTTCAGATGCATGACTTGCAAATATCTTCTCCCCTTATGTAGGTTGCTTTTTCATTTTGTTGATTGTTTCTTTTGCTGTGCATTTTTAACATTTTCTTGATGTCTACCACATTTGTTAGTGTTCCATGAATCTGACTCTTTATTCTGTGCTCTGTTTAGATGATACATTTTCACCTGGTGGTCAGATTTTGATGTTCCGTGAGATGGCTCACTTACTCCAGCACATGTGGCTCTTTCCTTTTCCTCACCTTTCTTCCCACAGGAACTCAGGAAAAAAAGCACAGATTTTAGACTGTGTGGTAACTGAGGCCTTTACCTCTATGTTTTTAGAAAGTTCCCAGAATTAAAAGCCTGTTTCTTATTGTATAATTCAGTGGCTGATCAGGAGAGAGAAACTACATACAAATTTGAACAGGGAAAGCATAAAGAATTATTAGCTCTGCGAGATGGAAGTGACAAGAGATTAGCTAGCAAAGGTAAAGAGAAAGCTAAAGAATAAAGGAATAGCAGATAAAAGGAACAGCCGGTGCCTCTTGGGCTGTGATGGAGCACCCAAGGAAGAGCCTCCCCTGCTTCCCAGCAATGAATCCAGACCTTGTTGAGGGACCCAGCCAGGGCCCAGAGCATGGAAGAAGAGTTCCTGTGGTGCCACGCTGGTGGAACTTGCTGGCAAGCTGCCCTTGGGGGTTCCAGAGAAAGCTGATCATGGGGAAGCTTCTCATTGGAGGTAGCCCCCTACACATCATCTGCGAGGGGTGCCAGGGTCAACTGCTGGGTGCTGTGTGCTACCAGCTGCAGCACACTGCAGGAGCCTGGAGCTGGAGAAGCTACTAGTGCTGCAGGAGCTGGGTGCTAGAAAAGTCATCCGCACTGCAGAAGCTGAGGTCCAGAGAAGCCACCCACACTGCAAGACCTGGGTGCCTGGGAAGCCGTGTGTGCATCAGGAACCCAGTGTTGGCGAAGCCACCTGCACCGTGGGAGCCTGGTGCCAGACAAGCAGCCCTTGCTGGAGGAGCCCGCTGAGTGAGCCCACCAGAGCCAGGAAGCAAAACCCCCTCCTCCTGCAGTGTTTCGCCATCACCCTGTGCTGAAAAGGCTCAACAGTGGGACAGATATTTAAAGAGACTCAGATCCATTTTTTTGTAGAGCAGGCAAAGAGGAGTGAATTCAGAGTTGAGAGGCAATAAGTTGATACCCGGCATATTTATTTTTCCATTTTCTGAAGCAAAACATGGAAAATATTTGGTAAATTTAAATTTATTGAATTTGGGGAGATAGGCAAGGGAGGATATTTTGCTCTCTTTCGGAAGGATTTTTCAAGTGTCTGCTCAGAGGAATTCAAAGGACCACAGATTATATTTGGAAAGAGGAGACAGCTGCATGAAATGTTGACAGTTGCAGGTCTTGTGTTCCCAAAGAAAACTGGGCCAAATTAAGTATCGATATGAGTGGTACCACGTCCGACTTGTAAATTCATAGCACATATAACCTCCCTAGAAGTGTACTGAAATTAGAGCTAATACCAAGGACAATACATTTTGAATATGCAGAGGAGCAAAACAAGCTTAGTATCAATGTATATCCTCTTTTATATAAGAATTCTGAAATGAATGGATTCATTCAACAAATCAACTCTGATCCCAATGGGTCATTCAGGGACCATGTTCCAAGTCATCGCTCTGCCGTTTCCTAGGGCATCGTTGTCAGCTGCGTGGTTAATGTTGGGTCATCATTGAGTCCAGTGGGAAGGAGAGAGGGGGAGAGTTTTGCCCACTGTCTTAAGGCCCAGCCTGGCAGCTGCACATACCACTTGTACTCATACTCCACTGGTGAGGACAAAGTGAGGCTGCTAAATGTAATGCCCAGCTACATCCTAGTAGTATAAAAGAAGAGGCAAATGCAAATTGTTTTTGGTGGATGGCTTGCAGTTTCTGCCATAGGCGGCTTTACCTTGCCTACTTAACACTTGTTGAAAGCACGTGGTCCCCAGGTCCTTGGTCCCTGGGACCAAGGAAAACTTGCAGCTAGCTATAGAGTGGGAGCACAGATATCTACTGACTATTTGGATGGCCGATGTTACCACAGTGTTTCCTATAGATGTAGAGGAATGGGTCTTTGAGGCACATAAATTTTATGTTGGTGCTCATATGGTTCAGAGGGAAAAGTGAGAGAAAGCAAAGAGATTAGAAGGGTTTAGAGCTAATAAGTAATAAAGACATATAATCTGAACTATTTCTGCCATGCTAGGATTTCCCCTTAACAGACTTCGGTTTCTTCTTCTGGTTAGACTCACTCTCCAGACCTCCTACATAGTGGATATGAATCCCCAGGGTTCAAACCCTATCTCTCTCACTTATTTAGCAATTTGATCTTCAGCACGTTACATAACCTCTGTGCTTCTGTTTTCTCATCTGTGAAACATGATTGGTAATGATGGCTGCTGCTTAGGGTTTGGTGAGGATCCAACGAGCTATTATGTGTAGAGCACTTGGAACGGTGCCTGGCGCATCGTAAATGGTATATAATTATTTTGCATCTAGTAAGTGCTTTAGAATTTTGTATTACTACATTATTACTATTTTCATTATTGTCATATGGACGCTTCCATTTCCGCATTCATCTTGTCTGAACTACAGGTGCCCCCAACCCTCTGCTAATTGTCCTTTGAGTCATTTTTACTTTTTTCTTCTTCTTTTTAGACGAGGCTACTGGGGAAATGCAACAACAGAGAATTTCTGGGAAAGTTTCATTCCACTGTGAGAAATTTGGTCAGCCCATAGGAAAAGATCCATTGTGTTCCATTTTAGAAGAATTGTGGCAAAATAATAGCCAGCTAGAGAGATATCAAGAAAGCCAAAATAACCCTTTAAGTCATGTGAAAGTACTGATTAAGGAGAGGGGCTATGAATTTAAAAATACTGAAAAAATAATTCACGTGAGTACCAAGCTTGTTCCTTCAATTAAAAGACTCCATAACTATGACACCTTTGGAAAGAGTTTGAAGCATACTTTAAACTTACACAATCATAATAAAAGCAATGCAACAAAGAAGCTTGGTAAGATTTTTGGAAATGATACTAATTTTGCCCATAGCTCTTCCTCTACTGAGAATGCGAATACAGGAGCAAATTCCTGTGAAGTTAATCGATGTGAAAAACATCTTGGCAACAAACAAGTTCTCATCCACCATCAGAATATTCAGACTGGGGAGCAACTTTATGTATGTACTGAGTGTGTAAAGAGCTTCCCCCAGAAGTCACATCTCTTTGAGCATCAGAGAATTCATGCTGAGGAAAAATCCCATGAATGCCATAAAAGTGACAAAGCCCTCATTCCGAAGCCACAGATTAATGGACCTCAAAGTGTTTGTGCAGGAGATAAACCCTATATATGTACTCAATGTGGGAAGGCCTTTACTCTCAAGTCAAACCTCATTACACATCAGAAAATTCATACCGGGCAGAAACCGTATAAATGCAGTGAATGTGGAAAAGCCTTTTTCCACAGATCATATCTCTTTAGACATATGAGAATTCATACAGGAGAAAAACCATATGAATGCAGTGAATGTGGAAGAGGCTTCTCCCAGAATTCAGACCTTACTATACATCAGAAAACTCATACTGGAGAAAAACACTATGCATGCAGCGAATGTGGGAAAGCCTTCACAAGAAAATCAGCACTCAGAATGCATCAGAGAATCCACACAGGAGAGAAACCCTATGTATGCACTGAATGCGGGAAGGCCTTCATCCAGAAATCACATTTCAATACACATCAGAGAATCCATACTGGCGAAAAGCCTTATGAATGCAGTGAGTGTGGAAAATCATTCACTAAGAAGTCACAACTCCATGTACATCAAAGAATTCACACTGGAGAAAAACCCTATATATGTACAGAATGTGGAAAGGTCTTTACTCATAGGACAAACCTCACTACACATCAGAAAACTCATACTGGAGAGAAACCCTATATGTGTGCTGAATGTGGCAAGGCTTTCAGTGACCAGTCAAATCTCATTAAACACCAGAAAACTCACACTGGAGAGAAGCCCTATAAGTGCAATGGCTGTGGAAAAGCCTTCATATGGAAGTCACGCCTCAAAATACATCAGAAATCTCATATTGGAGAGAGACACTATGAATGCAATGAATGTGGGAAAGCCTTTATCCAGAAATCGACACTAAGTGTGCATCAGAGGATCCACACAGGAGAGAAACCCTATGTTTGTCCTGAATGTGGGAAGGCCTTCATCCAGAAGTCACACTTCATTGCACATCATAGAATTCATACTGGAGAGAAGCCTTATGAATGCAGTGACTGTGGGAAATGCTTTACTAAGAAGTCACAACTCCGTGTGCATCAGAAGATTCACACAGGAGAGAAACCCAATATATGTGCTGAATGTGGAAAGGCCTTCACTGACAGGTCAAATCTTATAACACACCAAAAAATCCATACTAGAGAGAAACCCTATAAATGCAGTGACTGTGGAAAAACCTTCACCTGGAAGTCTCGCCTCACTATCCATCAGAAATCTCATACTGGAGAAAGACACTACGAATGCAGTAAATGCGGGAAAGCCTTCATCCAGAAAGCAACATTAAGTATGCATCAGATTATTCATACCGGAAAGAAACCCTATGCTTGTACAGAATGTCAGAAGGCCTTCACTGACAGATCAAATCTCATTAAACACCAGAAAACACATAGTGGAGAAAAAGTATAAAGCCATTGACTGAAAAAGCCTTCAGCTGGAACTCACAACTGGGGATGCATCAGATGTCTCATAGTGGGGAAGAGGAGTGCCGGATGCTGCGACTGGGGTACAGGGGGAGGTGGGCATGACAGCCCACAGCTTAGGTAAACAGAAGGCAGACAGAGCCAAGTATCCTTCAGTCAATTGGAAATACAAGTACCTGCACCACCACAGTTGACATGCAGTTATATGCATAGGGAGACACTTTGATAAGGCATTTGAGCAATAGTCCTGTTTGGTTGCATGATTCACACAGAGACCTTCAAGCTCTTACAAATGGGTAGAGAGACAGACCCCAGGAGATGGTAGAAAGACAGACCCCAGGAGATGACTTGTAATCTCTTATGTTTCACTTTTTGGATGAAGGACTTTATAAATTCAGCACTGATTAGTTCTTCATACCCTGGGAATGTAGAAGTACTTAATATTGGCCACCTTTTTTTTTTTTTCAAATTTCTAGGGTGGGGAGAAGGGTTTTCATTGTCCAGACACCTGCAGAGCACCAAAGTCAAGGCAAAAACCTATTTGGGAAGGCAGATCTGTGAGTAGAAGCCAGAAGTTTTTGTGATCGTGGACATTTAAGGCACAGGAAAAATTGCCACAGGGAATTTTTCTTTCTCTTTCCTTCACCAGAGTATATTTTTAAAAAACGAAATAGAATTTTTAAACTCCAAGTCTCACTTTAGGTTTAAAATGACTTTATGCGTTGGCAAATTAGGCATAGCTCTAGCCGATGTTAACAGGAATATAGTTATTAAACCCTACAGACATCTAAAGGTGGCAACTGTTCTCTCATTACTTCCGTGCTGTGACAGCTGGTGATTCACATCCAAAAAAGGTATGCATACTTTCTAACCTGTACCCCAAAAGCTATCATTTATGTAAGCTGCAGACCATAGACTTCTCATCCCCCTAAAACAATGGAACTGAGCCACAACACACTGGACTTCCGGTCTCATCTGCTGAAGCTTCTGCTTTCTTTGGGATTCCTGTTTGAAAAGGAGTGGTTGATAAATTGAGTTTCAATACATAACATTTTGATTTTGTTTTTCTTTCAATTTGCTAAGATACATTCATTTTCTACACGCACATTAAGAGTAGTATTGTGTCAATTGCTATGGGATAAAGTCATGTTGCACTGTATTTGCTTAGTCTAAGATAGGATTATAGTTGAATAACTGGAAGACTTCTCTAGAAAGAGCACTGCTTTTTTTTTTTAAAGCACTGATATATAGACAGTTTCTCATCTTCCCTTTAATGTTTTTTAAGATACTCATAAGAAAAGGGGCTTTCTAGCATGCAATTTTACCTTATTTTTAAACCTTTTTATTAATGTATAATGCATCCAGAAAATGCAGGTATCATAAGCAAACAGCTCAATGAACTCTCAAACTGAACATACTCAGATCAAGAAACACAATATACCAAACACTCCAGAAGCATTCCCTGTGCTCCCTTCCAGGCCTTGTCCCCTCAACCCCCAAGATAAACACTATCCTGACTTCTAACAGCATAGATTAGTTTTGTCTGTTTGGTATTTTATATAAATTGAGTCAAACAGTTATATTTCATATTTTAGAATATACTCTTTAGTGTCTATCTTTCATTCATATTGTAAATGTGAGGTTCATCCATTTTGTTGAATACAGTTGTAGATAATTCATTCTCATGGTCATGTTATATTCCACCGTGTGAATATACTACAATATGTTTATCCCACCGTTGATGGACATTTGGGTTGTCTGCAGCTTCAGGCTATTAGGAATAGCTATAAATATTTTAGTACCTATTTATTAATGAACATATTTATGAATTTCTGTTAGGCATATTTCTAGGATTTGAACTGCCAAGTCATACAGTATCGATATGCTCAGCTTTAGTTTATAAAACTAGTTTTCCAAAGTGGCTGTACCAATATACACTCCCACCAGCACAGTGTATAGGTTCTAGTTGCTCCAGATTCTTGCCAATACTTGGTATTTTCCATCTTTTTTTACTTTAGCTCATGTATATATACCTATATAGGTATATCCATAATGGTTAGTATATAGTGATATCTCGGTGTGATTTTAATTTTTATTTCTTGTCTTCCAATTCTACCATAGTAGCTCCCCAAGACAGTTAACTGATATCTGAGATCTGAGACCCAGGCATGGTCCTCACATGCCTGCACCATTTATATTTCACCAACAATAGTAAGCAAATAGTAACTTTAAATCTTCCCCCACAAAAAAGCCTAAAGCCAGATGGTTTAACTGGTTAATTGCATTAAACATTTATAGGAGAAATAATATTGAAACTCCATACAATCTTTCAAAAAATAGAGGAAGAAGGAACACTCTCCAAGTCTGTGAAGCCAGTATTACCCTGATACTTAAGCCATACCAACACATAACAACAACAAAAAACTACAAACCAGTATTCCTCATGAATATAGAGGTAAAAATCCTCAACAAAATATTAGCAAATCGAACCTAACAACATATAAAAGAATTATACATCATGACCAAGTGAGATTTATTCCATGATGCAAGGCTGCTTCAACATTCAAAAATCAGTCAATGTAATCATATTAATAAGTTGAAGAAGAAAAGTCACATGATCTACAGATTCAATACAATTTTATCAAACTTCCAGCAGGCTTTCTTCCCCCCAAACTGATAAACTGACCTTCAAAATATAGAGAGAGGTGGAAAGGATCAAGAATAGCAAAAAGGGGGCACCTGGGTGGCTCAGTCAGTTGAGCATCTGCCTTTGGCTCAGGTCATGATCCCAGGGTCTTGGGATCGAGCCCCACGTCTCGGCTCCATGCTCAGTGGGGAGCCTGCTTCTCCCTCTCCCTCTGTCTGCCTCTCTGCCTGCCTGTCTGCCTACTTGTGATCTCTCTCTCTCTCTGTCAAATAAATAAATAAAATCTTAAAAAAAAAAAGAATAGCGAAAAGGAATCTGCCAAAGAACAAAGAGGAAGGACATTTGCCTACCAATTTCAAAATTATTATAAAGCTACAGTAATTGAGCTAGTATGGTACTGGCGTGGGACTAGATACATAGATCAACAGAACAGAACAGAGTCCAGTAATAAACACTCATACTTATGGTAAACATTTTTTTCCCCACAAAAGTGTGAAGGCAATTCAATGGGGAAAGAAAAAGCCTTTCAACATTTGGTGGAGGGATAATTGGATATTCACATGCAAAAAGATAAATTTAAATCTTGCTTCACACCATTCTAACAACTCAAAATGGATCATAGACATAAATATAAAAGCTAAAACTATAAAAGTTTTAGCAGAAAACAGGAGAAACTCGGTGACCTTGTTTTAGGCAAGAAATTCTTAAATAGGACACCAAGAGCATGATCCATAAGGAAAAAAATAATAAACTGGACTTCAGCAAACCAAAAACCAAAAAGGTTTGTGCTTCAAAAGACACCACTGAGAAAATGAAAAGACAAAACAGACTGGGAAAGGGGGCACCTGGGTGGCTCAGTCGTTACGCGTCTGCCTTCGGCTCAGGTCATGATCCCAGGGTCCTGGGATCAAGCCCCGCATCGGGCTCCCTGCTCAGTGGGAAGCCTGCTTCTCCCTCTCCCACTCTCCCTGCTTGTGCTCCCTCTCCCGCTGTCTCTCTCTCTCTCTCTGTCCAAATAAATAAATAAAATCTTTAAAAAAAAAAAAAAAACAGCCCGGGAGAAAACATTTGTAAATCCTATATCTGATAAAGGACCTGCATGCAGGATATATAAACAACACTTACAACTCAATAAAAAGAAGACAAACAACCCATTTTAAAAATGGACAAAAGACTTGAAGAGACATTTCACCAAAGAAGAGAATAGTGCAAGTAAGCACATAAAGAGATGCCAACATTATTAGTCATTAGGGAGATTCTAATGAAAACCACAATGAAATACCACTTTACATGCCACTAAAATGGCTATAATAAAAAAAGATAATCATAACAAATGTTGGCAAATACATGGAGAATTAGGAACTTTCATATATTTCGGGTGTAAATGCATTAAAGTGGTATAGCCACTTTCGAAAAGTGGCAGTTTCCTTAAAAGTTCATCATAAATTTATCATAAGACCCAGCGACGTCACTCCTGGTATCCACCCAAAAGATGGGTAACGCGTTCACACAAACACTTGCACCTATTTATAGCAGCATTATTTATACAAGGCAAAAAGTAGAGACGATCCAAATGTCCATCAACTGGTAAAAGGATACACAAAACGTGGTGCATTCAACAATACAAAGTAACAAACACTAATAAATACTACAACATGAAGGAACCTCAAAAATACTACACTAAGAGACACCTGGGTGGCTCAGTCATTGGGCACTTGCCTCCGGCTCAGGTCATGATCCCAGGGTCCTGGGATCGAGTCCCGCATTGGGCTCCCTGCTCGGCGGGAAGCCTGCTTCTCCCTCTCCCACTCCCCCTGTTTGTGTTCCCTCTCTGGCTGTGTCTCTCTCTGTCAAACAAATAAAATCTTTAAAAAAAAAAATACTACACTAAGTGAAAGAAGCAAGACACAAAAGATCAAGGATTGTATTTGTATATTGTATTTATATGAAATTTCCAGAAAAATCTATAAAGATCTGTAGATTAGTGGTTGCCTGGGGGTGAAAATGGGAATGGTCATTAACTGTAAATTAGTACAGGAATCTTATTGGGGTGATATAAATGTTCTAGAACTTGATTGTGGTGATGGTTTCACAACTAGGTAAATTTAATAAAGGTCATTGAGGTGATCCTTAATTCCATTCCTTTTTAAACATCTGGATTCCCTGCCATAACATCTGTTGCCACCTATAGCTAGAATGAACTGTTGTCTTGGAGCCTGTTGTACATTTAAGAATAAACTTTTGTTTAAAAAAAAGTCCTTGAACTGTACAATTTAAATATGGAATGTAAATTATACCTCAATAAAGTTGTTTCTTTTTCTGAGTTTGTTTTGCCTATTCTAAGTCCTTTACATTTCCATATGAGTTGTAGAATAAGTTTGTCCATTTCAACAACAAAAAAGCTGCTGTGTTTTTTATTTGGATTAATTTGAATCTATAGATCAATTTGGGGATAATTGAAATCTTAACAATATTGTTTTCTGACTCATAAATAGGTATATCTCTCAATTTCTTTAAGTATTCTTTAATGTTGTTACATTTTATTACATTTGCAGTTTTTGATTTTTTGTTTTGATTTTAAAGATTTTATTCATTTATTTGTCAAAGAGAGAGAGCACAACAAGCAGGGGGCGCGGCAGGTAGAAGCAGGCTCCCCGCTGAGTAAGGACTCGATCCCAGGACCCTGGGATGATGACATGAGCTGAAGGTATACAGGTCTTTCACATCTTCTGACAAATTATTCCCTAAGTTTTTCTTATTTTTCATGCTTTTTTACTTGGTGTCGTCTTGTTTATACTTTATTGTGCGATACTGGTTTTTTATTTAAATTTCATTTTTTAAAGTAATCTCTACACCTAACATGGGGCTTGAACTCACATCCCTGAGATCAAGAGCCGCATGCTCCACTGACTGAGCCAGCCAGATGCCCCTTTAATTTAAACTTCTTATTGTTAATTACTAGTATATAGAATGTCAATTGATGTTTATATGTTATCTTGTGCAGAAGATAGAAGAAACAGTCCCCACACAAGATTGCCCTCACTTATGACAGCAACAGCAAGTTCAAGGGTCTCCAAGACCATCCTCAGTTTCAATAATTCACTAGTTGGACTCTCAGAACTCACTGAAAGCTGTTAATACTCATGGTTACATTTTATCACAGCTAGAGGATAGACATTAAAATCAGTCAAGGGAAGAAGGGAATGGAACAGAGTCCTGGAAGGTAAGCTTCCAGTTGGAAGGAAGAGCTTCCAGTTGTCTTGTCCCCATGGAATCAAGACATTATTCTCCTGGCATAGATATGTGACAATAGCATGGAGTACTGCCAACCAGGGAAACTCACTCAAGCATTGGTGTCCAGAGCCTTCAATGGGCTCCATCATGTAGGCATGGTTGACTGCTCACATGGCTGATTTCAGTTTCGAACCCTCAGGAGGCCAAGCTTCATGAACCAAAGCCCCCACACTTCATTTTGTTGTACATATGGCTCTGACCCTCACCCTAAATTACATAGTTACTATCTGGAAGGCATAAGACCCCCAGGTAAACAAAGACATTCCTATCCGACATGACATTCCAAGGGCCTAGAGATTATTTTCCAGAAGCTGAGGGCAAAGGCAAGACTTCTCTTTGAGTAAGGTTAAATTATTTACTATACAGGCCACCCCCTGACCTTTGGCCAATGTTCTTTCACAGCAAAATATACTTACCTGGGCATTTCCTTTTAGTATAGCATTTATATGACAACAGCAATAGTAAAAAACAAATCCATCCTATAAGGCCATTATATACATTTTCATGTTTTTATGCTTATTTGATTACTCTTCCCCTTTCTATTTGTACCTTATTATGAACTTGCGATGAACTATTTATCATAGAAATTAGCTAATGGTTACTTAAATCCAGTTCTTCAAGCCATTTTCCATCAGTATTATATCCTGAAAAGCCTTTAGCTCAATTACTCAATATATTTGACCATCAATATAAATATAATCTTAGCAACAATGCCAGTGTTACACCATATCATAGTATGGTAGTAGATGTAACCTGCATACAACACTATACCTATAGTCAACAATAAGGTATTGTACATTTAAAATTTTGCGTATCTCCTGTCTTCTTTCCAAAATAAAATAAAATACTCAAAAGATACTGGCACATTACTAGAGTCCCACTCAGCCATCAACAATTGGTCCAGCTCATCTCCCAAAGCAACGCCACTCAGTTTGCAGGCTCCCATTCCACCTTGTCAGGTTCCAAAAGTAGTAGTAGTCTTGGCAACATATGGCTTATTCTTTCAGGCATCTGATATAACTGAGTAAAGAGACTATATTATCTCTTGCTCTGAACCTTTCAAGGTACCAATTTAATGGTTTTCCCTCGTTGCATAACCTATTTATTCATTCTTTTACTCTCAGCTACTATTCTTCCTCTCCATTTATCATTGAATTTAATCGAAAAATTTTCACCCTTCTTTTAAGAAACAGCAGGTTTGGCCACTGTCCTAGTCCAGATTGTCAACAGCAATGCCAGTCTAGCAAATGCTTTCCCTTCAGTCTACTCCCATTCATATAGAGTATCATCATTACATAGGTTCGGAACTACTGGAGTATCTCAACCACTAAGTAATACAGCTATATTTTGTCAACCCCAATTTTGCCAGATGGGGTGAAGGCAGAATCTATCACATTAGGCCCTTAGGAGTTCTGACATAAACATTTAAAAGTACATGGGGCGCCTGGGTGGCTCAGTCATTAAGCATCTACCTTGGGCTCAGGTCATGATCCCAGGGCCCCGAGATCAAGCCCCACATCAGGCTCCCTGTTCAGCGGGAAGCCTGCTTCTCCCTCTCCCACTCCCCCTGCTTGTGTTCCCTCTCTTGCTGGGTGTCTCTCTCTCAAATAATAAATAAAATCTTTTTAAAAAATAAACATTTAAAAGTACAGTTAAAATTTCTTGCTCAGGGATCATCACTCTTCTAGCACCTACAGTTGCAGCCCTGGTCCTGGGACCACTGAATCAGGTAGGAGGGAAAAAAAAGTTGAGGTGATGTCAGAGGCAACTATAATCCTATCATTCTGTCCCACCCCTTTTTCCCCAGATCCTTCTGAGAAGTGAAGGAATCTATCTGT